AAAGAGCAGAGAGGCATGACCAGTATTGTTATAGAACATTAATGAAATACTGATGAGATGCTGATGGAATATAGATAGAACATATAAGACATAGTGTGAAACAGGTTAGGACATATAGCTGGGACAATAAATCTTTGGGATATTGAAAATGTACATTACTGAGCATGACATATTGTGATAAATAGCAAGTAATGATATTGCATATAAGATATATAAATTTTCTCTTTTTATTAATTCTTAAACATAGAAATATTAAAAAAATTTACTATAATAAATTTTTAAAGCTTGAATTTAATATCAAACTATTTTATAAAACTTTTTAATTAACAAAATATTTATAAATATATATTAAATATATTTTTATATAAAATTATATTATATTATTAAAATTATTATTTTTGAGAAATATTTTTTTAGTTTGCAAAATTTAACTGTTTAAACAATTAAAAGATAATTTTAATATTATTAACTAATTTAATACATTTCTTAATAAATTCGTTTTAATATTAAATATTCTACTTAAATTTTTAGATTTTAATAATTAATTATGTTTGAATACTACAATATAATTAAATGATTTATTTTGATAGAATAGTTTCACAGTCTAATGTCGACTTATAACCCATTCAGAGAAACTGTCTATTTCCATTCTTACAAAATAATTTTAATAAACAAATTTTTTTTCTTATTCATAAAAAAAAAAAATAATTAATTAAATAAACGACGCATTGTAAATTCTATTTATCACCATTTAAATTTTTGCAACATTCATATTGGTTAAACTTTAATGTTTTTTCATCGCTCAATAGCTGTACTTATTATTATTTCTTACATATTATTTATATACGGAGTGCATATTGATCCCTCTAAGCGTAGTTATAGTCAATAAATATTTTTTGATGTATGTAATATGATAAAAAGCACTTGAGCGCATCACATGCTTGTTCATTACACCAAGTAAAGAAACCAAGAATTTTTTTAAAAATGCTGTTGCATTGCATTGTAAAAAATTTCGAGGAAAAATAAAAGTTTTTTTTTTATGTGGTGCCTACATGAAATTTTCTTATTTCGTAAGTTTTTTACCATAAAATAAATCATTTCGCGCGTGCTTATGTGCATTAGTTAACCGTAATAAAATGGACATTCAACTCTTTTTTAGTATCTTTATACTAAATAAATTGTTCACTTGATTTAACACAACATGAACAATTATTTATACATCGGAAATTCCTCGTGATACGAGAAATTTTTTTTAGAAAAAAAAAATAAAATAAAATAATTTTGTTAAAAAAGGGAGTTAATTATTTATTTATTATTCTTTTTAATTAATTTTTTTATAAAGTATATTATTACAACATTAAAAAAAGATAATTACAAATGTGTACACTATACAACGATTTTCTATAAATTACTAAATTAATTTACTGATTAATCTACAAAATAATCGTGAGATTTACTTCGTATTCTATGATACTCAAAAACTTCGAAAATGGGCAAAGAGTTATCATTCCAATCATAATCTAATTCATGAAGAGTTTCAATAAAAATTTTTTTCAATTGTTGCTTTTCTTTAGCATATTTAACCAAAACTTTTAAATGTTCGTTATCAAAAGAATAAGATTGACTAATCTCTAAACATTTTAAAGGAGGTCTAACATTACATAAATAACTTTCTAAAGAAACGGGAGTAAAAGACCAAGGAACGCGTATGACTAATCGTTTTAAATTATATAGTAGATTTTGAGAAGCCATTTGTTCCAATAAATAAGTAACATCAGCAGTATTATTAAAAGCGTCCTCTAATGATTCATCTTGATCTTGAGAGATAATTTTTCTTGACAATTCAATTGATTGCAACAAAGGACACAAAGTGAATAAAGTGAGTAAGCGTGGAATATCTTTAATATCAACAAAAGTAGTAAAATGAGTTAAATTCGGACAATACTGTCCAGTGATTTCAATCAATGAAATAACTTCAGGAGATACGCTCACATAGTGATCACCAAGGAATATCCTTTTTAAAGTAGACCCAGTCATTTTAATCAATTTACCGATAATATCCTTTGAAGCGATTGATTTTTCAAAATCTAATACTTCAATCCTTTGAAAAGCACCCTTTTTAGAAGTGGTTGTCGTTAATGGTTTCATTAGTTCATCACTTAATTCACATTCCCTAAATACCAGCTCTTTTAATTCAACATAATCTAAAATATTATAAAAAGCTCCCCATTGAGCGTATTTTGTGTTTAATTGAACAAATTCCAAATGTTTTAAAGAATTGACTTGAGATTTCAAAGCACCTAATATGGTGAGCAAACCAATCTCACCACGTAATAGTGTAAATGATTCTAAAGAGACTTGTGATTGAAGAAGCGTGGCCAAATTTTTTGCTTCCCATTCTAATTCTTGCATTTGTGGTTCGGTATAAGGAAGTAGGGACAATAATGAAGCCGGTAGGGAATTCGGTTGTTGTTGATTAATAGATGATGGTGTTACCGTTTGAGAGTTATCATCATTATTATTTAACCAATTAGTATAACCACCCATATCTACAACAATTCGTTTTAATTGTTTACAAATTCCAGCCAAAGCATGAAACAACCTCCACTTCGTTCCTCTCGTCGTACATATGAATTCTGTTAGGGGAGGTAAACATTTATTGGAACCAGGATACGTGGCGATTAATAAATGTTCTTCAGGTACATTTTGCCTCAAGATATTTGAATTATTCGTGGTGATACCGGCACGATTCGTTGTGGTAATGGTCGTTGTAGCGGTTTCATTAATTGGTACCAAACAATAACAATGATGATCATCAATTCTGGTATCGATCGAAAGTACTTTTAATTTGTTGCATTTATTCATGATTAATTTAGCCAAAGAATATGATACCACCCTATCAACGGCAACGGGAAATCCATCAACACTAAATCTACCAGTACTACCATATGATGAAGGGGAAGTATACGATGATGATGATGACGATAAAGATGAAAAGTTGCCAAATGATGATTTCCTTTTCAACATTGAAGAGGATTTTTTTGTAAGGGTGTTTACCGCTTTTTTCAAGGTTCTCTTGAATGAACTTTTCTGAAACAATTTACCATTAGAATAATTTGAAGATGAATTATTATTACTATTAAAGATGGTATATTGCTTCCACGCTCCTACTGTTATAAATAATTCTTCCAAGTCCAGATATCTCAAATATTCAATATAGTTAAACGTTGGTTCTTCATTATATGAATTTAAGTTATCCTTATCTTTCGCTTTACTTGAATTGCTGTTATTATTTAATATGATTCTATTGTTCAAGAGATTAATTTTTTCTTCTCGATCAAGGAATGATAAATAAATATTGATTAATGCAGCACATTGAAGGTAAGTATCCTTTGGCGTTCTACCACATTGGCCGGATGAAGAAGCGCAAATATTTAATAAATGAAATGGTTGCGACCACAGGACTTTTACAACGTTAACACACCATAATCTGTTAACTAATAAACATGAATGAAGCGTCGATTTTGAATACGATAAATGTAAGAAGATGTGTTGTAAACATTCTGATGGCAAAGATTTACTGTTTGAAGTAGTGCTGGGATTATATATACTAGTTTGAGATAAATTATTGTTTATATTAGGAAATGGTTTATGGCATAAATTATTTTTTAAAGTTTTATAAGACATATTACTTTTGAAAAGTAATTTCTGAGGGATGAAAGGAATTTTATTTTATTTATTTTCTTTTGAAAAGAAACGGACTTATTTTATCTATTTATTTTTTTTTTTTTTTTAATTTTACTTTTTTATATGTAAAAAAAAAAAAAAAAAAAAAAAAAAAAAAAAACAAAAAAAAAAAAATAAAACCACAAAAAAAAAAAAAAAATTCCACAAATAATAATATAACAAAAAAAA